AACTCCAATGTGAAGTCAGTGCTACTATACGGATCAGAGATATGGTACCGCGTTATGAAGAGCACCTCAAACAAACTACAGACCTTCATTAACAGCTGCCTTAGCTCAATACTACTCAAGATCATATGAATGACCAGAAAAGATGAGCAACAGGTAGGGATCTCTGGCAATAAATGAACCAACCCAATAGGAACCAATTGTGCAACAAATAAGCAGGAAGGAATGGAGGTGGATTAGCCAAACTCTGAAGAAACCATCAAGGTTAACTAATTTTGTTCTACAGTACCTATTTTTGTTCTTAAGAAAATTATCTTATCTTTCTAGCAGCCTAACTGCACTTTCGAGGTAATTTTGAGTTTTTGACACTGTTATTATTGGATAAAACAATAGACATTATGGCGAATAATCATTTTTCTTCGCTGCCTTTAGAGCGTTTTGTGACTCTATGTGTGCGTATCTCAAGGGAGTTTCAGTCAACTATAAAGTAGGACACTTAGATCAGTTACCACAGTTTAGACCACCTCCCGTGTGAAGTGGTATAGTACGGTAAGCAATATTCAGGTTAGGCTTAGGTCGAGTGCTAGGTACGGAGGGAAAATCAATCGACGAGTCTGGTTAGGACATGTTTTACGTATGCCCAACCAGCCATCGCCTCCTTCGACAACAGGCAATTTGAGCTAACATAGGGTCAGGCCGGAAAAGAGAAAGCCGATGGCGGTCAAAAGAAAACTTGGCTTCATCAGTCAATGGAGTCCACAACAGTTAGTTTAAGCCAGACATGTAGGGAGGTCCTCGAGATGGTAAAACCAATGATAGTTAGAGAGAATTGGTGATTCGGTTCAAACTCGTTGTGAATAGCTGGCGCAGATGCATCCACTCCTTATGACTTATAATTTCCAATGAAACTATATTGTTCTTCGATATTACTATTCCAACCTGTCTCATATTCCTGTCTACTGTCTCTATTAAGCATTTCTTCTACTTTGTTCTCTTGCCCTGTGTGCTACATGGAGTGGAGTGTGGCGACTTGAAGTGCTGCATATCGGTGCAAAGTTTTATATCCAAAGCAGTTAGGCAGACCACCACAAGATGGTTCTGGAGATTCATGTTATGAGGCGAATCTGCTGAACATTAAATCATTGGGATATTCAAATTAATGAATAATATGGTCTAACATTTTAGGTTACAGAAACCCAAATCTAATCAGTGAATTCAAGCATTTACAAATACACTAAGTAGTCGAATATGCAATTAGGAAAGTAGGAACGGCATCAAAACAACATTGAAGTAAGATGAGAATTAAATTTGGAAACTAGATAAAATGATAGTGTAATTCGATACCAATTGGTTAAATAATGAGAGGCTAAGCTGAACGACAAAAAACAAAAAACAATCCCTACACTTATTGTACAGGTGAATAATCGGCGACAAAAAAGAAAATCATCAACGCATCTAAATGTTTCTCGAATAAAAATAGTAGAAAGTCAAACATAAACCAAAAAAAAGAAACAATATTAAGGCAATAAAAGATATGAAGAAGTAACCTGCCTTTATTCTTTTGCGTTCAACCAAGTAGAACAGAGGAGAATTCAAGAATTTTCTTATAAATCTCATATCTTGATGATTTCTAAGAAAATATTTCGTCTCACTTCTATATTAAGAAGTTAAGACATTCTGGTATAACCCACCCAAAGCTTACTCCTACAATTCGTTAACTCTTGCATCCTGCCTATTATTCTCTATTGTTCTCCCTTAGTTTTTCCTGGACTACTGAAGAAAGACTATATCTTATTACGCAGGATGTTAAAGGTTGTCAGTAGGGTAAGCCACAGGGTGCCACTTAACCAGTTTGTTAGTATTCTGGTTGACAGGCACTTGGACTCATGTGAAAAGTGGGCGAAATCCATTTTATCTATCTAACTCACATCACCCTCTCCATTCACAACTCTCCCCTTGTATCTATCCCATCAGACAAAACCAGAAGCCTATATAGAAAACTATATGCCCGCACTAGTAAGTACAAAAACTCAACCATACCCTACTTAGCTCGTGTTCTGTGTGATAAAGAAAGCATCAGGCGTGATGCCTACAACTTATTAAATAGTTAGTAGAACAACTGGATCTCGTCTTTCGAACTTATATCATTTATAGGTACAACGTTTTCTTTCTTTCTTTTCCTTTTCTCTTTTTTTCTGTTATGTGCTCCTTTGTTTCTTTCTTCTGCTTACGCCAGAAAATATGCTATCACCTACCTTTCTAGCAACTTCAAACACTGTTTAATTTTGATATGCTAATATGTTGTAGTCAAAACTAACTGAGGTTACCCTTAATCTATGTAGAATTCTATTTTATTGTTAATTTTCTAACTGGATGCAATACTGTAGTAAAATGCTGAGAATTCCATTCTCTATCGCAAGTACTGTTTTGAAATAAAGCTATTATCATTATCAAATTATTATTATTATTTTTGAAGTTTCAGTAGTGATGTTTGTTTACGGGGTGGGACTGTTAGTCTCACGTTAAACTTTCTGCCTTTACCGGCCTTATTCATGCCTAATCGAGGTTTAGAGATGAATAAGTAATTAGTGCTTTAGAATCGTCATATGACAATATACCAACACAGATAGTCCTGAAGGAATGGCAAACTCTAACAAAAGAAAGCACCACTATGACTGACCAGTTTTTTAACTTGATGACATTGATCACATTTCAAATCCAGTCATTATTCAAGAGTTGAAGGTCATTAGCAATCCAAGCCTAATATCCACTTGAGTATGTGTCGCTGGTTCAACGGTAGAATGCACGCCACACACACACACGCCTCACGTGGTCTGGGGTTCGATCACCGGCCGACGCACTCCTTTACACCATTAAGCCGATAATAAGACTGATAAAGAGGGGAAGTTGGACTACCAACCCCATCCTGTAAAAATAAACACAACTGCTACCGGAACTTCAAAACTCTAGCTTCTGTGTTCCACTTGAAACGTAAAGGAATAGAACAAATAACCAAATATCCATCTGAGTAGTTATTTGTATAAGAAATAATTACTTCAAAGAAACTTTATAGCACCGATAATCAATTAAAACATTGACTTATAGCTTTCATCAAGAGTCAATCGATAATGGAGCCCTATCGATGAGTTGCAATTAGGATGATACCGGTATTCCACAGGAAATTAATTAACGTGGATGAATAATGATGACTGGAATTTCGTACAATGATTAGCTCGTTATAACACCTTAGACCTTAATATCAATAAATACCTCATATAACAAAAGTTTCAAATGTAAGACAGAAATAAATATAGAGGTTTTTGATTGAACACAAGTCAGTAACTAGTGTAATGTGTGTCTAGTCCTTTGTCTGGTGCAAACAGAATTCTAAAATCAGTGAAGTTTGCAATGTGGCCACCATGTCACTAGGTGGCTTGCCATCACGGTGCACTTTACATTGTTGATATTAGACGGGTGGAGGCAAACGACAGAGAGCCTCTCTAGCATCTAGTTTTTGTGCTAGTTACCACTCATCAGCGAAGCATATCTGCAACCTTGACTGATAGGATTTAGTCTGCACCAAAGATAGGACTGGACACATCACACTAGTTACTGACTAGTGTTCAATTAAAAATACCCAATAGAGTCCTACAGGAGGTCGATCGCAAGCTATCCCGAATAGCTCAGTGATGGTAACGTCTCTGACTGCAACACTCACTAGGTGACACTGGTTCGAACCTCAGAAGGGAAATGATTCCCTTCAAGGTTGCAGATAGGCCTTGTTTACCGGTGAATGCCAACTAGTACGAAACCTAGGTCCCGAAGAGGCTTTCTGCCAATTGCCACCAACAAGAACGATGATCCACATTATTGAATTATGATGCTTGATTATGCCTGGTTTTTACTTACAACCAAATTTGACACGGCAGACCATCCCGTCGTGTGATACATAGAAAATCACCCAAGAAATCACGGAGTTTTGTGCTTAGTGTATCCCATATAACACAGCATTACGTCATCAGCTGGCTACACTCCTCGACTCACCCCCCCCGCATTTCTTCCAACTAGTTTTGGAATAAGCAAAGAATAAATGATATTAGAGGCAAGTGGACAACATTTTTTAACACAAGTCGAAGCGACTGAAGACAGTACTCCAACACATGCCATAAGAATTCAAATCTACACACACATAAAGTCGACACAGAAACCATGGTGGTCTAAATTTTTTTTTCATTACAGCTTGATTCCAAACAGTATTATTGGTACAACTATGGGATTTTCAGCATGTGATATCGGTAGCCGAAATTTATCAGGCTGACCGTTGACATCAGGTGTGCGTTCGCCAGGGACCAAACCCCAGACCATGTGCATGGTCAGCAAGCGTCCTAACCGCTGTGTCCACTTCTCGGACAATCCGAAACTTAAGGATATAGGATTGCAATGAGAAGGTGGAGGGAAAGTAATAATGAAGTGTGCAGTCAATTATTTACGTTGGGACTACGGTTGCGAAAGACATGACCTCATATACAGTAAGGACGGACACTACCAAAAGAGGTGCAACTAGAAAATCACATCGCTCCAACATACTTGATAATTCTCTAGAAGGTGTCAATGTGTGGAGAGAAAACAAAATCCAAAAAAATGAACTTGGTAACAATATCCTTTTTGAAATCACCTAATTAATTTAAACAAATACATGCAGCATAGATGACATGTTTTAAAATGTTATTCCTTTACATTCCCAGTGAAACAAAGGGCTTCAAGCTAGAGCTTTGAAGTTTTAATAGCACTGGTAGCCACCCAACAGGTTGGGCAGCCTCAACTAACTCAACCTACCTTCTTTACAGGTTTTATTATCGGCTTAAAGGGCTAGGTAAAGAAGTGCGTCGACCGGAGGTCGAACCCCAGATTACGTGAGGCGCGGTTTGTGAGCGTTCTACTGTTGAACTACCGACGCATTAATGGCATTTCCCAAACAAACAAGGATAAAACTAAAAACTTACTTGATGCTAAATGTCGTAAGGCGGCAATTTTCAATTGTGGTGATAATCTCGACTTGCCCTGATAATCATGAAGACCAAACATACGAAAGTCTCTTTTACGTACTTGTCGGACTTGATGATGAACATTGTCAGCTATATTCAGAGAGAGAGAGAGAGGGGGAGGAAGAACAATCAATCAATCAATCAAAGGAAATACAATAATAACAGCATAAATTACTTTTGATATAAGGATAAAACTTGGGCACTTTGGTATTATTATTATTATTATTTCCTTTAATTCCTAGAGGAACATAGGGCTTCAGCCACACGTCTCGATTGCGTTTGGTTCTCTGTTAGGGTTTTCCCCTGGCTCCAAGTCTGCCCACATGCTTTCATCTCCTCTTCACATGATCTCCTCCAAGTCACCCTTGCACTGACGACCAACCCTCCGCTTTGCTTTCCGGTTCCGCTGTAGCAATGGCTTATCTAGTGATGTCATTTGATGGTTTCCTCAGAGTATAGCTAATCAATCTCCATTTCTTCCTGCTTATTTCTTGCACAATCGGTTCCTGGTTGGTTTCCTCTCAGAAATCCCTCCCTGTTGCTAATCTTTTCTGGGCAGCCATCTGATCTTGAGTAGTATTGAGCGAATACAACTGTTAATGAAGGTCTGTAGTTTGTTTGAGGTGTTCTTTATGACACGCCAAGTCTCTGATCCATATAGTAGCACTGTGGTGACAGAGTATAATTCCATTATGGATAACATTTTATTTTGATAAAATCGCACAGCTTTGTTATGCAGTAATATTTACTGATGACCATGTTTCGGACACAATTTATTATTGCTGCTCATAATCATATCAAGACGCTCACTTACACAACTTTCTAACTTCGTTTATACAATTCCAGTATTTCGCATATCTTGATTTCACTGGTAATAATATCTTCCATATCTCTGGTATTGGCGTTAAGTCATTTCGCTTGTATGTGATGAGTGTAGACTTGATGAACCAGGCTGGATTCAGTGATCAATCTCTCTCTGGCTCTCCACCTACCTATATCGCTTCTTAGAAGTTTAACTCTCTCCCTCCCACCCTATTGTGTGGTTGTGTGTTAATGCATGCAATGCAATGTAGTGCTGAGCTTTTTTCTATGTTACTTATCTTCTCATGGTCAATAATTCTTACCTTAGCTAAATTCTTATCTTCCAACAATCTGACTACTCTCGACCTACTAGTTTGACCTATGCAGTTGACTTAACTCACAGTCATTTCAGGGTATTTTGTAAATTATATTATTTTGTTTAATTGGGCCCTATAATAGAGATAAATTACTTTTGTGAGCTGTAAAAACAAACGACAAACAAACCAAGCGAGACACGGTTGAATTTACACCTTAATATATTTCAAGTTAGGTAATCGATTTTCCTCAGACTTATTCAAAAAGTTACAATGACAATGCTACGTGTCAGGTGGTTCACATAAGAAAAGTCATGGAAGCCTTTGAAGTGAAGCCAAGAAGAGTAAAACAAGACTTTCCATTATCACCAAAGATATTCCAGATTGTGGTGGACTGGATCATGCAGTAAGGCGTGGGGGAGAGAGATAAGATAAACATTTTCTGGACCAATGAGAAGAAACCGGATGGTTTAGATACAACGTCACATGAAGACGTATCGACGAAAACCAACAATTGTCAGAAGACACAGAGAAGATAGGAATTCAGGTGAACATAGTGAAGACAGAGGGCATGGTAATAACCAGCCAACTACGACAAGCACCAGTTCCCATCGACTCTTTCACTTATCATCTAGGAGTCATCATCATTTCAAATACAGGCGAATAACACGCATAAGAATGTCAAGACAAGAATCTGAAAGGCATGAAAAACCTTAATCACTTCGAAATCAGTTAAGAAATCTTCTTCATTTAGTACAAAAAAAAACAACAAAAAATTCGGATTTTCAACACCAACACTAATTGGTCCGGGGTTCGATCCCTGGCCACCGATTCACTCCTTTATCTCGTTAAGCCAGTAATAAGACTGGTAAAGAGGGAAGGTTGAGCATGAGGTTAGCAACCCCATCCTACCGAAAATTCAAGCCTCTAGCTTGAAACCATCCTATGTTCCACTGGGAACGTAAGCGAACAAAAGAAATGTTAGGTCACTTCTTCAATATGCTTCAGAAAGTTTTCACATCGTAAACAGCATTTTGGATTAGGTTTCAGACTTCCATAAGCAGCTGCCATTGCTGGATAATAAATACTAGACTGCCAGAAAGAATTAGCAGCAAGGAATTCTGGAAACAAACCAGTCAAGAACCTACTGTGCGTCGGTGGCACAGTGGTTAGGACTCTCACCGACCATGCGCATCGTCCGGGCTTCGTTCCCCACCTGTTATCAATGATGAGCCTGCAAAATTCGGGCTACCGATAACACATGCTGAAAACTCCATACATGTACCAAAAATACTATGTGGAATCAAGCTATATTCAAAAAATAAATAAATATGATAGGAGACAAAAGGGAAGATGGATCGAACACATGCCGAGAAGATCGTTGAGTGACATCACGGCGTCAGACCCTCGAGTGGAACCCGAATGGGAAACGATGAGTTAGGCGTCGCTCTGAAGGTAGCATGGAGGAGATCGTTTGAGAAGGAGATGAGAGCTCACGGGTAATCATGGAAGCAGCAGCTAAACACAACTGCGCAGGACAGGATGTAACAAAGATGGACTGTTGAAGCCCAATCTTCCACTCATAATCCTAGACAGTAATAAAATAATAATAGATCATCCATTGAAACTGGTTAATGAATCATTCAAAAACCAACGAGTTATGTCTTTCTCGCCACTGTTTTCGACGTTTCAGCAGTATACACCCATGAATCACCCGGAAATCGGATTCATTGTCCTGAATTTCATAGCCATTTCCGGGATAGACACGCACTGGTGAAGCGTCCCAAAACTAGAACGAGACAGACAATCAGTACTCTCTGATTTTCCATAATTGTCTAATTGATGTTATATCGCGTGGTCTAACTACACAACACCAACATATCAAGGTACTCAAACAACTTTCTAACTTCGTTTATATACTTCCATTATTTTTCATCGTTTGAGTTGATTGGTAGTAGGCAGGCTTAGTTAAGTGTCTAACAAACCAAGCAATAACACTAAGTAGCACAAGAAAAGACCTAAATGATGAAATAAAAAAAAGATAGAAGAATAGCTGGTTGGTGTGAAATAACTAACTATCCTATAAAATTCATTAGAAAGATCAAAAAAGGTCAAGAGAAAAATAAAAATAATGGGGAAACTAATAATGATAACATAAATAAAAAAGAATATCAGGCATCGACTGCTATACCATAATAAGGAGGGAAAATCTGAAACCCTACACAAGATTCTTAATAAAGTAGGAATGACAGCGGCATCCAAACTTTCAAAATCATTCAGAGACAAGCTCTGTAGGCTGAAGGATCCGGTGGACCAAATTAAACAAAATAATATAATTTACAGAATACCTTGTAATGACTCTGAGTGATGTCAGCTACATAGGTCAAACCAGTAAATCCAGGGTAGTCAGACTGTTGGAACATAAGAATCTAGCTAAGGTTAGAATGATTGATCCCACGATGATAAGTAATTTAGAAAAAAGCGCAGTACAACATTGCACTACATGTATTAAAACACACAACCACACAATTGAGTAGGTGGGACAGAGTCGAAATTCTAAAAAGTAATCTAGGTAGGTAGGTGGAGAGAGAGGTTGATTACTGAATCCTTGTTCATCGAGTCTACATCCAACACATGCAATAGGAATGATTCACCGATCATACCCGAAATATGTAAAATACTACTACCGATCAAGTCAAGCGATGGAAAATAATGGAATTATATAAACAAGTTAGAAAGTTGTGTGAGTAGTGTTTATGATTATGATTATGAACAGTAATAAATTGCGCTCGAAACATGGTCATCAGTAAATATTACCGTATAACAGCACAAAGAGACTTCATCAAAATAAATTTTATCCATAATGGAATTATACTCTGCCACAGTGAACAAGTTCTATTCTTATATCTACAAAACCAACACACTTTGAAAATTATAAATATTTTGTATTTTATGAAGTTTCCTATTATTATTACTGCTCCCTTGGGTTCCTAGTGGAAAATAGGGCTTCAACTCCACGTCTCCACTTGCCACTTCTGTCTTCCTTCTGCTGTACTTTTCACCTGCATCCATGTTAGTCCATACTGTTTCAACTCCTCTTCACACCATCTCCTCCATGTCACCCTTCCACTAACGTCCCACTCGCCGCTTCCCTCCTTTTCGGGTTCCACTCCAGGGCTTGACGCGCAATGTCACCAACCGGCCTCCTCAGCCGTGAGTGTCCAATCCATCTCTACTTTATCCTGTATATTTGTTGGTTGGCGATTGGTTCTTATTTTGTTTGTTTGTTCGTTCCCATAGTTTCTTGTTGGTGATTCTTTCCGGCCCAGCCATCTGATCTGATCTTCAGTATAGATCCAGAGAAGACAGTTGTTGATAAAGGTCTGAAACAGGCTGTTGGTTGGAAATATTCTTTGTCACCCGCCCGTCAAGTTTCTGATCCGTATAGAAGAACTGACCGACTTGACGTTTGCATTGAAAATCCGAATTTTGTTGTTGATGCTGAGTGATGTGATACTGATTTCCAGATTGGTTTCAGGTTGATGAATGTGTTTCTCGCCTTCCCGATTCGATTCCCGCTTGATTTGACATCCTCGTCCGTCCCGACTGTCTATAGTTGAGACAATGCTCCCTAGATGAGTGAAGTGAATGAAGTAACCTCTTTGAAATCCCTCCCGTTGATGGTGATTGGCACTGAATGTTGCTGCTGTTGTTGGTTATTTCCATAACCTCCGTCTTGTCTATGTTTACCTGGAGTCCTGTCTTTGCTGCTTCTTCGATCAGTTTGTCGGTTTTCGCTTGTAAGTCTTCGATTTTGTGTGACACCAAACATAAATCATCCACGCGCGAAATCCAGGTCTTCTAGGTTCTGCACGTCGGTTCAGACAGGATATCCCTGTCTTCTAGTTTCCCACTGTCTGACGCATAATCCAGTCAGTCCACCACAATTAGGAATATCATTGGTGATAATAAGCA